GAGTTATGCCGCGTTGAAGATGGGACGACGCGCAATGTTGGGATGGTGGGGTGGCTCGTCACGCGAAGTGGCTCGTCACGCGCACGGTTACTGTACAGTACAAATGACTCGCCGTTAGAAACCTTTTCGTAAAGAAACACATATCTCATTACTAATAACACATAATACAGAACGAAATCTAACAAATCCTCCACTGCTAACATGAGCAGTCAGTATTCCAAGCCGCACGACACATCACACACGTCGCATCCCTCCCAGCATCCGCACAATGTCCTTGCCAAACCTCAAAACAAGTCTTATGCACACTCTTACCGCACCCGTCTTTACACCATACAGTCCCTCCTTCTTCAGCCTCTGATGTCGCGTCCAGCCCATCAAGACATATCGCGCACGCCGTGTCGCCGGATCGCCGCGGAACATGATGACAACCTTGGCAGTCGCACTCATCATCCCAGTCTGCGCGACAGATGACGCAGGTAGGGTCCTCGCCGTCGTTTTCGCGTTGTGTGCGCCACGCTTCGAAGCAGGATTTGTGGACGGGGCGGCCGCAGCTGGATTTGCACCAGACTAAGTCTGTAGCGGGGGAGGAGGAGAGAGGGCCGCCTTCGTGGCAGATTGGGCAGGGGTCGGAGAGGAGGATAAGGCGGGCGTGAGGACGGGTGCAAGGTTGTGGTTGGGGAGAGGGTCGTGATGATGGTAGGAGTTCCGTTGTGTCGTCTACGGACGAGGGTGTAGCTGTTCTTGGAATCGGAGAGGTAGAAATTGGTGGAGTGGTGGTCTGACGTGTCGATTCTGCGGAATCACTGGTTGATGAAATGGCAGTATCTTCACTCGAGTCGGATGGTATAGAGGAACGTCGGGACGGCGCTGGTGAAGAGATTTCAGATACTGAGGTGCTAGCCATGGATATTGTCTGGACTGGTGGATGATTGTTCGATACGATCTCCAAGAGCTCATTCGTACATCTCATTGTCTCCTGTATCATGTCGCGGAGATTCTCAAGCTGAGGAGGCGTAGTGGACGATATGGAAGATGCCGTCATGTTGGATGGCCATAGATTACTGACTGGAGCCCTGCCAGTGGGGAAAGCTGCGTATATCTTGCTGCTCCATTTTCGCACCATGGAATCAATCTGTCGTTGATGGTAACGTACACAGAGTCCATAGCTAGCGAGATGTTCGAGCTGGGGCCGCAGAATGGTAGGATCGGGCGGCTGTTGTGACATATCGTCCATGATTGATTCCATCGTACTCCGGGACCAATAAGCTATGCGTGCATGGCATTTGCGACCCTTGCTGGGGGCATAACCAACGCAGCGGTCATCTCCGCAAAGATCTAGGACGTCTTTTGGGCACCATTGCTGACGGCTACGTGTGTCCGAGTCAACAAAGAGGTGTCTGGAAATATTTAGGGTCATGGTGAAGAGAGCTTGGAGAAAATGAGTTAACGTAATGAGTAGATGAGTTGCAAAGTGTAGGGCGCTCAGTACCACAACGTCCCCTCAGTTATACTTGAAAGCGGTCTCCTCCATAGGATCAATCCAACACCTTGGCACCTTACTGCCTAGGAGAGCATATTCCTAAGGTAGCAAGAAGGTCATGCAATGTGTGGCTATGCCTCCAACACATTGAAGGCGAAGCACCAACTTTGCAGCGAACTAAGCGTGGCTTGCTGCCTACGCGGGATACTCTGTGAGAGTCGATAGTCGAAGGATCATGATTTCCAAACATTGTGAGCTTTAGAACGAGGCTGTGCGCTTTCACATTAATGCATGCAGTCTGGAATAGTAAGGTAGCACAAGATGTTGGTGAGGCTGATGCGGCGTAGTTAGCACACGCCATCACCCGACACATTGAGCGTTTCGATGTCTGCTCGCTCCTATACGTCCATTGGTCCAATTCTCAGCCGAGACAAGTTTGACAAAACTTTGTTCTGTAATGGTTGCTGGCTCAGCGTGGGGAAATTCTTGGAACTTACGTCGGCTGATAAGGAAACTTCCATTGCGTAATACTATGGACTTACACTACGATACTGCCGCACTTGCTCCGTTCCTCATGAGTTCTGTTGCTCGCGTTAGATCCTCTGTGATATCATGGTCCCAAATCCAGTTCATCCTAGTCAATGCGTTTTGCTTGAGTGCTTCAAGATCGTCTCCAACACCTTCTCCTTCAAGTTCCCACAACATGCCAGCTTCGCGACTTGTCTTGACCAGTTTCTGGCTGCGTGGTCTCCTCACCGCATCATATGCGTGAAACGCCTTCTCGATTTCGATTTTTGTATTGCATTGAGAAAGTAGTTCACTGAGGATGTAGACGTCCTCGATGCCCATTCCAGCGCCCGCCCCTTGGTGAGGTGTCGAAGCATGGGCTGCATCGCCGACAAGACATAGGAGTGGCTTGGTAGAGTAGTAAGTTGCCGCGGGCGGGTGATCAAAGAGCGCCCAGATATCAGGCTTCTGTAAATTCTCCATGATGGTGCGCACAGGGGAATTCCAGTGTTTGTAGTCGTTCAACATGTCTTCACGAGACGTCTGCACTACCCATTCTGGTTGGTCCCATGTGGAGCAAGAAGAAAATGCTACCACTATCGATGTCTTAGCCCGAGTAATTGCGAAAACCAGACGGGCCGCTTACCGTTAAAGAGTGTTCCGTTTGCGATGGGAAAGGTGAGTACATGACCACGATAACCCATGTAGAGCTGCGGCGTCTCTGGTGTACCTTTGCCCATTATATCGATGGCCTTGGCCATAGGTATTAGTCCACGGTAGGCGTATTTCCCGGAGAAGATGGCCTTGGATGCCATGGAGTCGCCGAGCAGTATAGATCGCGTGCGCGATTTGATTCCATCGCATCCCAGTACGGCGTTATGCAACGCCTTTGATCCATCAGTGAAATGAAGAATCACCTTTCCTGAATCATCATCTGCTTCCGTAATGTTTTGCAATCTCTTTCTGAATTGCGCAATACCTTCCGGCAGCAACTTGACTAGTTCATCCAAGAAGTGCGCCCTGTGCACTCCTCCTCGAGGGCCTGTCCTTGCTGGCATAACGAAAACCTCGCCCCTCGAGGTAACGTCCTTCTTTCGCTCGTCGCCAACCCTTACAGTAAACCACCGTGGTGGTTCCGTCGCCGTATTCCCTTTGCTGCACTTCTCAAATGCGGCTGCGATGCGCGGGTCGATTAGTCCCATGGTGCGAACCATGACCGGTTCAAAACCAACCCCTGCACCTATCTCCCCGAACTCGCTGGCAGATTCATATAGTGTAACATGAATGTGTGGGCATTTTTTTAGCATCGCGATGGCCAGTGTGAGTCCTGCTATGCCACCTCCGACCACCGCAATGCTGAGGGAATCCGCTGCGGCCACCATGGTGCCCGACTGAAAAAAAATCTCCTTGCGTGATGGTATACTGATGTGATGCTCGTTGCGAGAGACCAATCGGACCAAAATGCCAGGCTATTGGTGAATGATAACTCTTTTAGCCAGTTGTTTTTGCACTATTAGAAACAGGCGCGGTACTGTGATAGAAGGGCCTATGGAAAAGTTATCATGCCACCGGGAGTAGACGCCTAGGCGCGATATTGGGCACCCTGCCATATGCAGCACACTCTCCCTGTAACTGTCTAACTCGGTGGGGAATTAAAAACGATGCGCTAAGTTGTTAGCGCTGCTCCTGACAGGCATTAGTACACCCCCCGGCTATTGCACCCAGGTCCTGACCAGATCCGAGTGGTGGATTTTCGGGTTATCAGGGTCAGGGCTGGAATTGGGTACTTGTGTGACATCTGACACGTTTCTAACACGAGAGTATGCAGTGGGTAACGTGACGGATAAGCGAGTCGGTCAGGCAAGCGAGTCGGTCACCCTACCAACTTTGCGCACCCACCACACCTTTGCCTACAATGCCTCC